TAATAATGTGTTAGTTGCATGAGTTTCCTTTGGTTTTCTTGTAATCACACTTTACCCTATCAAGTTTCCCCTTAATTTGAACCGTGTTCGCTAGAACTCCATACATACAGTTCTAATATTGGTCCGGTACGGTCAAAAATGATGGTCCATACATGCTGCTAGCCGCAACCATGACAATTTTGACTTCTCAAATTGCTATTAATTTCGAAGTCAGCGCCTTGGCGTACATGTTAGGTTAGCTAGCTGCTGTCTGGCCAAGATGAACATCTAACATGTGAATATAAAACGGAGTCAGCTAAACCAGCGCTCAGCGGGTGGTCATGCCAAGAAATTGACTACTAGCATAGGAGAGATTAACGCGGAGTGATTAACGATGCAGCTACAAATTTCCGCACAAATCACACGCAGACGAGAGATCTTAGCGGCCGCCGGGATAGTAGAAGAGAGAATTCTACTTTTTCTCAGTTTTTATTTTTATAATAAAAGTATATTTTTAGTTCCTTAAGTTTACAAGAAGTCCACATCTAGCCCCTCAACTTTTTGGGGGTGAATTTCAGTCCCTCATATTTCAAAACAAAAGGCATTTTGTGTAAAAAGAAAGAAGGGGTAAACCACTGACATGTCACCGGTTCTGGAATCCCACTTCACGTGGTGGTCAGATTAGCTCCACTGGCATTTCGTCAATGCTACTTTTTATGTCTGTGGGGTCAGCATTTTGGCAACACCTTGTCCGCCACCGTGTCACTACGCATATAGACGCCGGCCGGCCTCTTGCCGCTTAGAGCATCTCCAGCCGTTGGAGTCCCCAAGAACACCACCGAACCAAAAAAGTTGATGTCTTGAGGGTCATTCGGCGAAATATGAGGGCATGCGGAGGGCATCTTTCCAGTCACACCCACCCCAAGCAAAAGTTTGTGAGGAGAATGATTAAGTGGGCCAAGAAAAAGGACACATGGGGCCACCCGATTCACTGAAACTTCCACCAGCGCCCCCAAGAGGCCCCCAACATGCTGGGTTTCGCTGGGGGCGTGACTGAGCCGTTTTTCGGCAAAAAACGCCGTCCGAGCCTAAAACCGAGCCATAAAGGTGTCCTGGGGGCGTCCTGGGGGGACGGGTGGAGATGCTTGGTTCCTCCCCTGCCGCTCCTGCCCGCCCTTGCCGGAGCATGTTCTTGCACCGACGCGGCCTAGGTAGCAACGATGACGACCATCGCCTCTGCTTCGCCATGCACCCAACCACGCCTACGCGGCCAAACACTCCTATGGCCGCGGAATCTTGCATCCCCGTGTGTTGGCCTGTGCCACTCCACTCCCTCCTCTTTCCTCTTCCTATCTTTTTATGAGTGCCACACGCACCAAGACAAAGCTCCCGCTCCATGAAAACTGCGTCCGCGCTAAACCTGCTCCCACTTTTGTCCATTCGCCTTCTCTGCATCTATTGAGCGTACCAGCGTTGCCCCAACATGCCATTCTCACCCCTATTGCCTCCTTCAAGCTTCACCATCGACATCATCCATGGTACATGGCCGTGCCCCCCTGTAAGTTGGTTACTCTAGCCTCTCCCATCTCGCTACCCACCTTCTAAACCTCCCAATCGAGTCAGAGCGAGCCAAACCCCTCCCAAACCCCTCATTCTTTCTTTCCAATGTATCTATAATTTTTGATTGTTTCATGCTATTATATTATCAACTTGTATGTTTTATATGTTTATATCATTTTCTAAAACTAGCCTATTAACCTAGTGGCCAGCGCCAGTTCCCTTTTTTTTTCTTATTTTGTTGTTTCCCAGAAAAACCATACCAAATTAAGTCCAAACACGATGAACGTTACGGTTATCTTTTCTGGATCAGAAGGGACCCTAGAAGCTTCGGGGGCAGACCATACGCCGCACTAGAGAGGCACAAGCTCACACGGCGTGAGCCTCTATTCTTCTGTGATCCGAAACAATTTTATCGCCGCCGCAAACATCTGTTCTTCCGCAATCCGCCGATATTCTGCCGGAGGGGGAATCAATCATGGAGGCCATCTTCTTCAACCTTGCTACATCCATGATGTTTGATCTTCAATACAATGTTCTCTTCGGAGATCGTTTCATTGTAATCCTTTTGCGGTGTGTATGTCGGGATCCGATGAATTGTGAGTTTATGATCAGGTTATTCACTGAAAGTAACCGAGACTTCTATGAACTTTATTATGTGTGATTTCATAGCCTTGTATTTCTCTCTGATCTATCTGTCTAATTTGGTCAATTAGATTGATTTATCTTCAGTGAGAGAGGTGCTTGGTAGTAGGTTCAATCTTGCGGTGTCCTCACTCTGTGACATGAGAAGCAACGAGACACATATCTGTATTGTTGCTACTAAGGGTAAAACAACGGGTTCGAATATATTATTTGGTCTTACTTTGTCCACATTATGTCATCACACTCCAAGCATTACTCTGTTTGTTATGACCATAATACCTTAAGATGCATGCTGGATAGCGGTCGAGGGGTGGAGTAATAGTAGTACATGCAGATGGATGCCAGTCTACTTGTCTTGGACGTAATGCCTATATATTGATCATGCCATGAATAATGTCATATCTATGCATTTTTCTGTTAATTGCCCAATAGTAATTATATCCACCATTAGTACGCTCATGAGAGAGATACCTCTAGTGAAAGCTATGGCCCCACGGATCCATTCACTTCATATTATTAAAACCCTAAATACCTTGCTATAATTTATTATCTTCTATTTTATTTCACAATTTATCTATATATCACTATCATAATTAATCTTTACAATTAATGAGTATAAGGGGATTGACAACCCTCTTGCCCGAGTTGGATGAAAGTATTTGTTTTGTATGTGCGTGTACAACTTAATTTTTTTTTGCGTCAGTCTCCTACTGGTTCGATAAACCTTAGTTCTTAAATGAGGAAAATACTATCTGCGGCTATACTACATCATTCTTCCTCTTCAGAAAAATCCCAACACCTATCACAAGTAGCAAGGTGCTGAGCCTGATCCTATCGACACGATTGCACTTGCTCTGATTCCTCTCATCTCTGCCAACCCTTGTCTCCCTAGAGCTAATTCTCAACAGGGTCCAACTGAATAGGAACCAGCAGGACAACGAAGCTGTGCCGCGACAATATTTGATTTGGCCATTGTGTCGGCGCGGAGTAGCCACTTCCCAATTGCACTTCGAACACCTAGGCTTGGGCACCCGCGGTGAGGACGTGCAAGCTTCCTGTGCATGCAGCGGACATGGTGGGGGTGGGGGGCTTCCTCAGTGTGTGCATCGGAGGCGACGGGACAGGATCAACGTCTTCTCGGGAGGGTAGATTCAGTAAGTATATTTTGACTTTAACCGCTGATGTGGCAGGTGGGATTTCAAAACCAGTGATATGTCAGCCTCAATAACATTTCGCTCCAGTTTTGGACGGAAGTTATCTGCTTATCAGACATGAGACACTAAAATTTTTGTCTCAAAAATATACTTTTCTCTTTTGCAGGAGTTGTGAAATGATATGCCATTTTAGTCATCATCTTTTGATTGGCATCAATGGGAAAATATGTGTGGAAAGTTTGAGAGATTTTTATTTTATGTTTTGCTTGATTAGTATAGTGTATGAATTGGTGATGGTGGGGCATAGAATTTGCCTTCTACAGTGACACACAAATACTTCCTTTTAGCAAACGATAATGTTTTCTTAATTTTCTAAACTAAGTAGATCGGATTTGATAAATCCAAAAATACATGAACAATAAATATTCTTGGCTTTTATCCAACACTCATAGGTGGTTGTCGAGAAGGGCCAGCGAAAACGACAAATGTGTTTGGTGGCCAATTCTGCCACCAGAAACGAGGACTGGGAGTATGAGAACAGTGCTGGACTGTCGGAGTGTCCCAAATTGTGATTTTGGAAGCCGGTGACTGTCCTCACTTGTCAATCTTTGTCGCATGTGTGCAGCCGACCTTTGTCATTTTGAGCTTTTGGTGGCGTCTGACACTTGTTGCAGCTTGACTGCTTGCTTGTACGAGCATGGTCTTCAGTTGCGTAGCATCTCACATCAAGACCGTGCTATCCATGTTGTTGTTGGAATCGCGGAAAGAGGTGGCGATAGCACATGATGACTTGGATTTGCTAATGCTTCTCGAGTACCTGGTCACAATCTTGGTGGTGAAAACCCTAGGTCTGACTCTTGTTGGTTATACCTATAATGGTGGTTTTTGCTCGTCACCTTGTTAAAGTCATTGCTCAAGTTGGCTCCGACTTTATCTTCATGGTGATAACAAAGGACCCTAGGTACTAGTATATATGTATGACCTACACCTGTAAGTTGTGTACCGAGACCAGATCAAAAGAAACAAAATCCCAGGAGCGACACGCTCCTGTTGCTATTCATCGGCGTCCCATGTCCAGTGTTTGTTCTGCAAACTAGCTAGCTCGTATCAGGCAAGCCGGCGGCTTGCAGTTTCGTACGTGCATAAGCTAGCTAGCCACCATGGGAATCAATTCAAGGTGCAGCGAGTTGTGTACGTGTCTACACTCGATCAGCCAGAAGGAATCGGCCGCCGCTAGCTTGTACGAGCACACCGTCGGAAAGTACTCGACGGCTGCATCGTCAAGGTCGGGCCTGTGCCAACAGGCAGCGCTTCTGGACGCTGTAGCCTTGTAGTATAAAACCCCGGATCTATCCAGTGGTATTAGTTTGGAAAATATATACGGTGAGCATGCTGTGATGATGACACTACTGGAAGTATTTAAGCTTTGATACTACATCACAAACAGCACAAGCTAACTAAGCTTCCATTCAAAAAGTCCTGGCTCAAGAGTTTACTCAATACCCTAAACTGGAAGAGATATTACAACAACATACACAAGTGCATGTGTGATTATTTGGAATTTGCAATTACACTCCGAGTTTGAAATTTCAAATACATAAAACACAAGATGTGCTTATTTTATTGGATAATAGAAATAAACAAGGGGCATAAACATCCCACAGGCTAGAGGGGAATTGGGTCGACAAACTGCTGCTTGACCCTATCTTTGTTCAGACGGCCGAATGTGTAGCGGTCCTTCTTGTGATGATACGTGAAGACCATGCTCTTGGTCATTCTCGCGACTCGTTCTACAAGTGGGAGCATCGCACGACGGTCAAATCGTGTCTGATTGGTAGTTTTCCATGCATCTTCAACCATATTATCCAGCACAGCGAAAGCTACCTCACCCGTAACGTGGTACTGGTTGATATAGCTATCCACAGAGCTGGCCACATCCTTCTTGTTCTTTCCACACTGTGAAGTATGAACACATGCATATAATTAGTTACACGATCCATTTTGCTAAAGATTCAATTAAAGAACATTTGGATATAATGAAGGGACATGTGTATATATAACTTCTAACCAAGCAGGTATCTGTGTACTACTGCTATATATTTACCTTAAATGAAGTCATGTCATTCACCAAACGTGCCACAACACTGCCAGCCATTACAGCATCGGTGCAACCGATGGCCCACTCGAACGCTTCCTTTGTTGCTTCGTCACCCATACCAACAAGTAAAATAACAGATAGCATCGCAATAGCTGAAGAGATTAGCGAGCACTTGAGGTGATCTTCAAAGCTTGGTATGTAACTGTTATGAAACCATTCAGATTCCTGTTGGTAAGACCTACACAAAGTTTGTATCTGTGTGCATACATTGCAAGGTGGACAGTGTTGTTAGATTAATTAAGAGCTAAATTAATAAGATTCTGAAGAATTTACGGTAGAATATAGATATATACCGCTTTCCTACAATAAGCAACACGGTACTTATGATCGGGTTTCAGTTCATGTTCAATCTCTATGAAGGTATTCATCAACCTGACATAGAACTTTCTCAAGTACTCTGGTAATAGAAAAACAGCGCTCTCGTCCCATCTGCATGTAGAGCCAGTTAGTTTAGGCCGGCAAGCAAGTATGATATTAGAGAACAGGATTGCCACAAGGAGATTAGTGCCAACCTTTGTATGGCTTCGGTGAGCTTTTCAGCCTCTTCCAAGGTAGCATGCATATCGAAAGTGTCATCTAACATGGATGTCAGCACAAATGCCTTTGCAAGGATTATTCGTGCATGTCCATACTGTTGCTCATAGTGCACAGTGTAGGACCAGAAGTAGCATTCAACTATACGATTCCGAGAGTAGCTTAGTTCCACCTCGTCATAGAGATCGTTTCCCCACCTAAAATCGACGTTAATTTGTTGTTGTTAGAGATTTCCTTCGGTACACCTTTAAAAAAAAATATTCTGGTGCAATTGAATAGAAGTAAGATTTACCCCTTTAATTGCAAAGGGTATTGTGGTCATGGCAAAAGTACCCAACCCTCTTGTAACCCATGTTACGCACACAAGCCTCGTTTAGGCCCATCTGCTTTACGAATCTAGGGTTCCATTCTTAGTTTTCTCTCACACACACCCACAAATCAAACAAAAGGATACGAGGGTTTTACGCTACATAATTATAAAAAGTTCAAGTATTCGTCAAACCTAGCTTACGAATCGTGCTAGTTTATAGATTTGTTATCGTCGCTGCCATGAAAATCATTGCCGCTACTATAGTCGCCGACGCAACTCAAGAACGGGGTTGCGGTTAGACTGGGCTCCCACGGATAAAGTGTTGCGCGCAATGCACATGGGCCGGGCCCAACTACGTAGTTCTGCAGGACACTCTCGGTACTACCCATGTCCAAGTGAAGTCAATGTTGGATTGTCAAAAAAAAGTGATGTCGACGTCAAGATGGCACTTTCAAAAGTTCTTTGTTGCTTTCTATCACTTTCATGTATTCTTCACTTTTTAATTTTTGCTTCTGTTTTCTCTGTTTTTTAGGCGAAATGCAACAATGTATTTTAGAGATATATGAATGCTTATTTTTATATATGTTCATGTACTTTAAAAAGGTGTCAGTGTATTCTAAAAATATGTCCGTCTATATAAAAAAGTGTTCACACATTTTGTTTAAATGCTCAAGCAATTAAAAAGCGTGTATGCATTAGAAAGATGTTCATATGATTATAAAAAAGGTGTTCACATGTTTCAAGAAATGATCTTGTAATTTTAGAAAGTACTCACACATTTCAAAAGAAGATGTTCCTGTAATTTTAAAAGGTGTGCACGTATTTAAAATGGTGCGTGTACTTTAAAGAAGTGTCCATGCCTGTTATTAAACAATGTTCATCTAATTTAAAAGTATTGGCACAAACAAAAAATAGAACATAAAAATAATATAAATCAATAAAAGAAGAAAAAATAAAGAGAAAATGTAAAAGGTAAAAGGAAAGGAAAGGAAAAACACGGAAAATGACAATAAAAACTGGTGAAAACCTGGTTCCTAGGAAGAAACATAAAGAAAACCGTAACAAAAAGCAATTAAATAGATGGGAAAATCCCCCGCGGTCGGGTGCCCCCTGTCGGGTGATCCAGGTGTATCCTGGAACAAGAGAGATATAGAGCTTACGCCAGATTGCTCGTCAATTTTTTTATTAATGCCACATGGACTCACAAAAATAGCCTTTTCAAAGTTTCGTAAAGGGGGTGAACTGAAGAAAACCTCATATTGTTAACTTTTTTTTTTCTATATCTTGATAATTTTAGTTGGAGATCCAGCAACTATAAAGCTACATGTAGGACACGTACCGACAAAAATCCTTGAGCTCCCTCTGGTGAACACACTGCAAAAGATTAAAGTTGAGCTTTGCAAGCTCAAGCACAGAAGGGTTGCATGTTTGCTCTTGTCCATACTCTGCAATGTAATATGGCGCATCTATTCTCTTCAATGTCCTTGGATATGGTATCTCAAGGTTTCGTTTGACTTGCTCTGATAAAGGGTACTCAAGATTGTCCCTCGTGGATTCAAGGTGATGCCTTGCAAATGAAATGGCTTCATCAAGTTCTGATTCACCGTGGATTGAAAGATAAGCTGCGTTGTATAAACATAATAGTGCCCTTGGTTCATTAGTTATATCCTTGTTGAAGCTCCCATCTCCGGCCTTGAATTTATTAAATACATCTGTATGATAAATTAGTGGAATGTATTAGATGTTGATTCCTATTAGAGACGACGAAATGACAGTTTAGCTTCAGGATAAAAGCAGAAGTGTTAATTAGTTCATTATACAACCCTGGTATCTTCTAGTTGTTTGAACTTTTACATTTCAAGAAGGTGTCGGACATAAGTAATTCTTACTTCTTGGGTAGCAGTGACGGATCTAGAATTGACCGTGGGGGCAACATTACAGAGGGTAGCAGTTTTTTTTTGTCAAGACACATTACAAATCGTTAATAAAGTACTGTATATATAAATGAATGCACTGGTAAAAAAAGTTGTGCAAATTGTTTGTGGGGGCCATGGCCCCACGACCTCACCCCTACATCTGCCACCGTTGGGTACTATGCACAGGTTAGAGAAATAAAATATTTCATTATCTTATAATACTTCAGCAGAAGTGATGCTTCATAATTTTCCAACGAAGTGTATGAACAACTGTTCTTCATGTTATTGTCACACAATCTGATCAAATACGTCTTCAGGCAGTCTCAGTGAATTGTATCTTATGTCGAATCTTGTATGTGTTTAGGTATTTCTCTCTGTTTTGTGTGCGCTAGTGTGTTTAGTTATAGTTCTCATTGTTTTATGCACTACCTATAAAGACGATATTGGCATGTCATTGACCACTAACGGGCATTCGGCCGAATGTTAGCAGTACAATTCACCTCAGGACGAGGCCCATCATTGGTGATTGCATGATAAGCCTTGTGATGCCACAACTGAAGGGATGACGGACCACTCAATAGTGTGAGGAGCAGCCAGCCTTTAGTCGACACACTACTAACATATGTACCATTTCCATGCCACATGCAGAGATGTAGTGAGGCCAATGAATAATTTGTTCCCACTTCTGTACCAGAAGAATTTGGGGCCAAAGAAGAACATTTCTCAGTGTTCTCTTTTCTACAGCCATACTATATACCCCTTCTGTTTCAAAATACAGTGTGTATATATTTTATCTTGAGTAAATATTTATGATGTTTGACTAAAATATATCTTATATACATATATATCAACGGGACAAAAATCATAATCTCCAATAACCATGATCACATTTTACAGCATCACCGAGATACACTATCACTCTCAATTTTGTGAAATCATGAACATTTTTTAGAGCTCGTGAACATATTTGAAATCATGAACATTTGTCAAATTCACTAACATTTTTACAAATTTTTGAACGTTTTCCAAAATAAAAAAAATTCAATTCATAAACATTTTAAACTATTTGCAAACATTTTTAACAATTTTGAATGGGCGCATTTCTAGAATGGACGAACATTGCTTTGGAAATTTCTGGAACAATTTTTTAATTTCACGAACATTTTTTATTTAACGATTTTTTCATTTAACAAACATTTCTTGAAATGCGTGATGATTTTTTGAATTAATAAATTTTTTATGAATGAATAAAATATTTTATAAGTCATGAACGTTTTTAAAACTTTTAGGATATTTTTTCATGAACATTTTTTGAATTGGCAAAATTTTGTTCAATTTCATTAATATTTTTTAAATACTTGAACTTTTTAAAAATCATGATTTATTTCCAAAACATTAGATTTTGAAATTTCAAACATTTTTTGAATATTTTTTTATAAAATTGCGCAATATTTGCAATCCACAAATATTTTATGATTTATTAAACAATTTATTTCAAAATTCTCTTTTTTTTAGTTTTCAGGACTTTTTCAAGTCATTTTTCAAATTTTCGGAACTTTTTGAAGTCCTAAATTATTTAAGTAGCAAAAAAACGGAAAAAAGAAAAAAAGAAAAAAAGAAAATTTAGAAACCAGGCCACCCGGACGTGGTGTGTCTTCTCCCGGCGCGCAGAGCGCGGTATGGGAGGTCCCTACTGCATGAGCCAGCCAAGGCAGAGGATTCCCTTGTGCAAAGTATTTTTATCACTTATAGGTGGCATTGATGGGTAATACTTTACAACTTTGGGGCAATTTCCGTGACGTGCCGCAAAAAGCAATAACCCATTTGTTGTTAGAAATAGTACAAATACATGTGTGTTGCACCAGACGAAAGAATGGGCATAACATGCTTCATGTGCCATTGTGTATCCTTTTACATCCATTTTTAATAAGTGTTGATAATATGGTCGAACGTGAGAATTCCCTTATTTTTAATAAAAGCTAGCGTTTTAGTAAGAGCATGTGCGTTGCAACGGCTATGAAATAAATTCCAGGGTTTACGTGATATTCGAGAGTTTATCTCATGGTGAAATACTGAGCTCTATCTTTCAATCTGTTAGATTCTTCTCCGTCTTATCATGAATTCATATTTTATACTTGACCACTTCAAAGATAAGACGACGTATTAGATAGTAAAGAGTTTACATTGCTTGGTGCTCTTTTGTGGATACGCTACCGCCAGCAGTAGGAGCACACCGACTGCGCCAACGCGGCTACTTCCCTTGACACCATCATCAGAGCTCGAACAGGATTAGAATTAGGACATGCAGAATTGCGGGTGAGATGATATGAGGGAGGGGAGTAGCTACATGCATGAAGGTGGTGCATGAAAGGACCGAGGACATGGTCGACGTAGCCATGACCACATGCCTCTCTCTCGCTCTTCCTAGCCGGTGTGCGGGGCGAAATAAGACGCATCCCCTCCTCTAGACCCAGTTCGAGCAGGTGCACCATTGTCGTACTCTCTCAACTCTTCGTCCCTCCCTCCTCTCTATCTCATCAACGGTATCAGGAACATCGAGACTTGAGGAATATATTGATAATCAGGTAGTCCATAGGTGAGCCCCGAATATCTTTTCCCTTCAAAAATAATATTTATTTTCAATTTTTTTTGAACAAATATTTCCAACATTTCATTCACACATCTTTTAAGTACTGTAACTACTAATATTCATAATTAAGATTAAGCTATGGTAGGCTTAAACAACAGCCAAGTAGTAGTAGATTGTATGCTAGTAGAGATCTAGCTCTACGCAAAAAAAATGAGATCGACTTCTAGCAGCTGCTGCAACGCATCGTCTAGAAAAAGCAATAGCGACAAGCATTCAATCCCACCAAGAATCTTATCTTCTCCACGCATCCACCCAGTGTTTTGCCGACCAGCACCACCAGACGGATTCCCCACCAGACCTCCTCCTCCCGCGCCTCCGCCACAGGCCCAGCCTGCCCCCGCGCGCGCAGTCCGGCCGCCAGCTAGGAGCCCATACACAAGCCAGCCGCGCTGCACAACGCTGCCGCCCGTACGCCGCCCCCAGCACCAACCACGCCAGAGCAAGGAGCTCCCCTCGACCCCGGGCGCCTGCCTCCCGTCCGGCGACCAGCCGCTGCTCTGCTGACCTTCTCCCTCTCCATTCCTTCCTCTTCTGGATCTCTCCCTCACCTCTCACCTCCCCGTATCTTTTCTGTATAGGGAGCATCACACCCGCGCCATGGACCTCCGACCCCGACGCCTAAGCTCCCGATGCTATTCAGCGCCAGATCCGCGCCGCCCCACCTTCTCGGACCATGTCGGGAGCCGCTGTCAGGAGCACCCGCGGCGTCCAAGCGCAAGTCCCGCTCGATACGAGCGCCGCTCCTCCACTGCAGACTACGACGGCCGCCCCAGCTTTGCTCCAGCGGCCCACGACTCTGTTCTGCATTCCCGAGGCAAGGGCGATTACTGCCGTACGACTCTTCTAGGCGGGCCCCCGATGTGGGGAAGGACTGATGCACCGGCGACGCGCAGCGACGTGGGGGGTGGGCCGGCGACACACGGCGGCGCGAGGGTGGGCCGGCGGCGGCAGGAGGTGGAGATGGGATTGGGAGGTAGGGACGTGCGGGTGGGTTGGTTATTTATTTTATTTTTTCTCTCTTGTTAGTACCGCTTCAGGTTGAGTTACAATAGTACTGCGGGTTGAATACCCAAAACAGCAGGGGGTTTTCTGTAAAAACGCCGATGACGTACGACCGGAAACCCTACGTGCT